ATCAAACAGTCGCGGCCAATCTTTTTGAAATCAGCGATTGGAGTTAATCCGACCCGAGTTTCGATTCGGAATGGACGAGACTTATTACGCCGTGGCGTAGAGACATCATTTACGCGTGAATAAATAGAGCGAGTTCAGAACATGTTTTTCCAATCGTTTATTTTTATATTTTAGCCGTGTAAATGTATTAGGAAATTTCTATCCTTGGTCGATATCTTACTGACCAGCCTTTGTTCCTTGCGGCTGGATTTTAATTGTCGGACATTACTAGCGATAAATTTCCGTACATATCCTTATATTTTCCTATCTAACATATTCCTGTTACGATTCTGTATTACCGGAGTGGTGACATGCTCAAACTGATAACTCGAAAAAATATATATGTTCTGATTCTAGGAGTCGACTAGGCAGTTCATAAGCCCAACTGGCATGCCGGTCAGAGAGGTTTAAAGGTTTATTGCCTCATTGATATTACAGCGCACATATAAATACACTTAATTTCATGGTTTAACATATGATACGCGCGGACATCTTGCGAGTTGCGTGGTATTTTTCCGACATCGAAGGCCCTTCGGCGAAGGGACGAATTTGAAAAGGCCGGCTGTGCGTTAGTGCGGACGGAAAACATTTTGAAAACGGAGCTTTTCGAAAATGAGGGCATCACGATAATCATGTGATTTCCTTGCACGAGTTTTCCTCAAGCACAAATCCAAAATGACCGGTGATTATTGCGTTTTCAAATTTCTCTGGTGTAGTGTGGACGGAAAACATTTGATTCGTTTCCAGAGTGAAAACGCCGTTATCAAATTTCTCCAGCGTAGTGTGGCCGGGGCCTGACTGAAATCCTACCGGCCTTATATAGTCCCCGCCCCGATCGCTTTGCTCTCCGAATTCTTCTGTTTCGCGCTCGCCGAAATTTTTTTCCGACCTCGCCGGGAGCCTGTTCGCAGGCTAGTCTTATAAGGCAAGTTCGCAAGACTCTAGCTCATATTTTGTCCTAATATAGCAACATAGCGCAATAGTGGAATAATAAAGTAAATTATAGACATTCAATGGGCTTATTGCCATCCCCTTAAACTTTCTTGAATGAGTTATGAACCTGCAAAGTAAGACACAAAAAAAGAAGCTGTGTGAGTAATGCAAGTTGCCATGGAAATACCAAAGAGGGACATGTTCAAGTACTGCTTGTTAGCTTTTGAATGATCACACACCAGGGTAAGGTTTCATCCCCAGAAGTCTTAAAGTTGAAACCATCATTAAACCTGCAATGTCGTGTAGACGAAGGTCGTTCGAGGCTGTACATGTAGGGGAGGGGAAGGTGGGGGAAGAAGGGTTACTCTCCACAGTGGAATATACAACACCAAGTAAATAACAAAAATATAAATAAACAAGTAGTAAATATAATTCTTTAATGGCAGAGCTCTAGCTAGAAGGGACACCTATTCATAAACATGTATAAATTGGCACTAAGGGATTTAATATAGGAAAAATTGATATTTAGGTGGACGTATAAACTGATGAGTGTCCCACTCTCCAAGAGCCATCGTAAGACAAAATGGTTCATAAACCAGGTCAGGGATAAGTTGTTTCAACTAACCTCCTCTCATTTTGCAGATAAAACTGAATTTTGTATCACAAGGGAAGTCATTCCACTGTCCGCTTCTTGCACTGTTCATGGCGCATTTTTCAGGGCTTCCTTCGCCGCCATTGTTGGGTTCACCACTGGACCAATTGAGATATTCAACGCTGCTCCTGATCAAGATTACAAGACAGGTCAGTATTTTGTAATCAGTTATATGATCAAGTAAATTACCACAGATAACTCAACACATTAATAGAAATAAGCATGACACTTATAAAACCCTCTGACTTGTGATTTCATCAATATGCGATCATCACAGAAATATCTAACCATAGTTTTTCTTTGCTTTTTATGCGGAAAGGTCTTCCCAGTTTCTAAGGGTAAAATATCTTTCAATCTAGTATCTAATCTCCTGAATCTTGTAGATATTGAACCAGACGTTTTTGAAGATCTCTAGATAAAAAAATCTACTTTTCAAAAGAACGTTGGTTTAGGTCAGTTGACGTCTTAACGTTCCTTTGTATGCTTTACTCGCTCAGCGAGTCTCGCTTACAATTCCCCAATCAAATAATGACTTATTAGAATTAATGCAATTTTTTGCAAAAGAAAATAAAAATAATATATTTTTGTTAACTTCTCTTATTTCTTGCACCTTGACCAGCTGAAGCTGCGTTATAAAATATAAATAATGCAAATATTCCAACTTCTGGCCATCCTAAGTGCCGGTCTTCTGCATGCATTTAACGTCACGGATTTCAAAACCGATAAACGTGAACTCAATGATCAATTTAAGATGATCAATTTAAGGTAGTTTGAGGCAACATCGTGCAATATCAGAAGGTGCGCCCGTTCCGCTGTATAAGTGTAACGCGATCAGTCTATGAGAGAGTGTACGTTTAGGTTCTCGAATGCAAGAACATAAATAACCTGATCGCTCACTACAGCTCTTAAAGCGCTAACGTAATCACGAGTTAAAAAGGACTCAGGGCAGACTTCCATTGTGATGAGCAGAACGTAACTAAACTTGTGATCCTAACCTTGCTCAGACAATTAACATTTGAAGGCTTTTAAAGTGCCCGAAAAAAAGTGGTTTTGTCCCTTCAATTCCATTCTGAAATCTGTTCCATGGCATTTGTTGGACTTGTTCTGTTGTTTTGTTATCTTACCCGTCTGTCCACTGCCAATCGCGTTTCTTCTGGAACCCAATCCATACCGCGTTGCTTCCAATGATGCTTCTGATGAAGTTTTGCTCTTCTTTGCTCTTTATACTGACCAGGTGTGACTTCTCATCATTGCAGAATTCCTCTGCTTCTTCCCACTTTAAGCGTTTATTGGGGAGAACAAGGTAACAATGTGGAACTCGGTTTACAAAGAAAGAGCGCCACTTTGGATAGCAGCCTGTAACAGGGGCTGAAAGAAGAAAACGTGTGATTCAAACTTCGATAAGTTAGTAAGCGAGAAACCAATAAGCCAGGAAGCCAGTCGTTTAGGTAAGTAGGCAGGTAAGTAGAGGTAGGTAGAGAAGGTAATAAGAAGGGAGGTGAGGAAATTGTAATAATTTTTATACCTTGTCGCACCTTTTTAGTACGCTTCGGGGGCATATCAGGTGAGTTTGGTTGAGGCATGGCTCGTATTTTGACGAGAAAAGGTCGAGCCAAAATACCATGGCTCGATCAAACGAACTTGATATGCTCCCGAAGAACACACAAAGGGACGATTAGGTATTTTACCGCGTACCCGAGTTTGGCCAAGTGATCATGATTTCGAAGTCATATCAGGTCAGTGACATGATATAACAGAATATCAGGAGAGTAGACACGGCTTCTGAGTGGCTTATTGCGAATCTGGGTGCAATAAAGTCATTTTTTTCAATCAAAGCAACTGGCAAAATAATGCAATGAAACGATTGCAACTCAAACAACTCCTGAAACCAGTGGGAAGAGCGAATAAAACGCTCGTAGGTTAAATCGCAATTGTTTATGTTTTGCTCCTGATTGATGAGTAACACCTTTTTCCGACAAACTCAAGAGCTCGACAACGTTTGCGAAACTCATAGACTGTGTTCATATTTGGTGCCCTAGTACTGGTGCCCTTGCACCGGCACGAAATAGTATCACGTTCAGACATTGGTACTCTAAGTACCGAAGTACCATCAAGTGCCCGAGTACAAGGTCGAGGCCTTGTACTCTGTCACGGGCACTGTGCCAGAATTCTGGTGTGAATACTTGGAGAAAAGGTGTGTTCACATTAGTGTCCAGCGAGAATCGTACCCTGGCACAGTGCTCAGGCACCAAGTGTGAACACAGTCATAGAATGCCATTCCATAGAAAACCATAGTCTAGGCTAAACTTACACACTGTTGGTTTGGGATACTCGTTAGCACACAGGTAGTTGTTCTGCCAGAGTTTACGACGGCTGAAAGCGTCGTTTTGCCATTGTAAACATTGCAAGCCTTTAATGCGCCCGTTTGTCGACCATGTAAAGCTGTAAGGCAAACAGGAGAAGCAAGTCTCAGCAAACTCACCTGAACGTGTTTGAAAATCTGAAATAGCTGCGACCAGGTGGGAGTCTACGAGGCGGAGTTCTATTGAGTTTTCCTGGAACTGATCATACGAGCTAATTTCTAATAGTTTCTAAATACTGAGACATATTCATCTCATGAGATGATTTAATACTGGTCACCAATAGGAAATTGTGCTTGACATAGAGCAATCTCAACCACCCTCTTCCATTTTTATCAAATGTATTACTTAGCAGATGGCTGGTTTGCGAGAGGAAATGAACATGTGGTGCGAAGACCGATTTTAAATCTCGGTAAAGAAACTCATTATCCAGTTCTGCACCCCAGACTATCATCCACAGTAATGTTGTGGCAGTTAGACTGGAGTGCGATATCTCCTCTTTTAACACCGGGTTTCTCTCTCCCCACNCCCCCCCCCCTTCCAACAGTATTTACTTACACGTATGGTGAGTCTTTTGGTACGCACAAATAATTATCGTGCCAGCCATTAGGTTGATATCGCCCACTTTGCTGCGTGATCCGTGTGCATCTCATACCAGATATATCTCCCCAGTCAGACCAACGGATGTCCACGTCTCTCTTGTTACTCGGCCAGCAGAGGCGCGCGCGGGCCCATGCGCTGTACTGATACCTCTCGTATATAAAGATGCATTTCTGTCGTTTGGGAGTGAAACTTATGAACTGAAATCTGAAATCGTGCGGCCATGAAGGAAATTCTGGGAAATAAAACAAAAAGTGACGTTAGAGAGGAAAACAATGCTCGATGCTTTGAACAACCGCACATGCAAACACGTGACTTGGAAAACGTTACTTGAAATCCTGCTTGAAATGATGTTGGGGCAATGGTATGTTTTATGTAATGTAATGCGAACTTTAACCACAATCTAGTGCGGCCCCCTGTGTTAGATCATTGAGCAATTTTTATAAGAGTGGCTATTAAGGGGATAGACGGAACGTCTAACCTCATGTTGCTGTAGAAGAATAGGGAGCTTTAGATTGAACTACGTGTACGAGATTGAGTACGGGTACGATTTTCGATTTTCAAACCAGTGACGTTTCCAGAGCCCTAGTTCTTCATGCTGGTTTTACGCAGAGAGGGTAGCTCATGGGATAAGATGGGTATGTGTTGTGATAGTGTGAAGGCTGCAAGCTAGAATTGAAAAGTCGTTCTTGTACTCAATCTGGTACGCGTACTCAAATCTAAAGTCCCCTATTAATATCTATCCATTGACAACCAAAAAAGGCCATGACGTACCAGTTTCTCAAACTAATACGACAATATTTAATACGAGGCCACATCAGCCTTAGCTGGTTTTTATGTGTGTCCTCTCTCCTGGTCGAATTGGAATTTGGAGATGTTGGTTTTTGTGGAGGGAGGAAGCGCGGAGTACCCGTAGAAAAACCCTCGGAGCAGGGCGAGAAACAACAACTTTCAACACACATATGCCACCGGGCCAGAATCTAACCCGTGCCACATTGGTGGGAGCTGCGAGCTCTCACGACTGTGTCACCCCTACTCCCAACTTCCAACTGTGCTAAATTAATAATAAAACTCAGGGCTAATTAACGACCGAGGAGAATTTTTGGACAGCCCACTTTAAACAAAAAAAAAAAAAAGCACCATTACCAGGACAGTTTTCTGTGTTACATGAAATGGTTTGGTAGTAGTTTCCCCTGCATTGAGCGCCACCATATTTGGGTTTGGGCGAGTCACATGATCGCGTACGCATTCGAAATCCACCTCCGCACTTCTCGGAACATGAACGCCATGAGGACCACCTCGACCAACCACCATCTATGACAGAAAAATTGCCAATGACTGCCAAACTGGAGTACAATGCACGTGTACTCTGATTGGCTAAAAAGAATACAATGTACTTGTGCTCTGATTGGCTAAAAAAGGGTACAATGGACGTTTGCTATGATTAGGTAAGGCACCTTTTTTGGACCAAGTAGTGAGCTCAGTAAGTTTAAATGAAACGTGAACACGTATTAATCTCGATAACCGATCGAAACTGCTCTAAGCCACGGTAACTACGGTTAGATCTTAAACTGTTTTTCCTTGGAAGTAAATAAAATGAGATTTCATATATTTAAAGAATTTATTGCATATTTAATTTTTCTCTTCTTTGTAAGCTTTGGTGAGCTTTTTCCTCCAGCTCTGATTTCTTACGTTCTTGCCTTGTTTTTGAGATACAGAGATAAGCTCTGAATCGAATAGAATTCAACTCACCGATCTTTTTGAACTTTGATGTTCCGCAGAGGAAGTATCCTCTTGTGTTTCTTGTTGTTCTTCTCACTTCCAGACATTCTTTCCCCGGTACCTGGCCAGAAACTGACCAGCTGAATTTCAACAAACTGTCGTGCGGCACACAGAGAAAGCTGTTTTCCCAGACTGCGGCAGCACGTTCATAAGGCATGCGCGTATTTATACAATGCTGTCCAACAATTGTCCCGTTGGGCGACCACGTGATGGTGAGCTTCTTCAAGGCGGGCTTATAGCATAAGTATTTTACACTCCACTCTGTGTCACGTGGCTGGTCTATAGCAACGCAGATGAGAGATGTGGACGTTTCGGATCTGAGAGAAAAATGATCTGGAAAAACTGGAATTTCTGCAAAAAAATTAATAATAATTAATGGTATACTAATTTGGTTAGTAGACATTTTTTAGCTTGGGTGCTCTGTTTTCCCGTTACAGACCACGTGATATTCTCTTCAGAATTGTTCTCTTATCCATCTAAAATAGCTTATGACTATCACACGGTCTGAAGTGGGACAACAAACCCCGCAGGCTTAAAAGGTCCATTCTAACCTTTGTTGTTCTTCTTCTTTTGCAGTCTTTTGAGAAAGGGAAGTTCGCCCAATTATCTCTTTAGTTATTTTGATAAGGAGAATTGCCAAGGAGCAATTGCCTAGATGTAGAACTGAGCAGTATTCTCTCAAGTAGCTATTAGAGGCATGTACAACTTACAGTAAGAATTTGTGAGAAACACCATCCAAGAGAAGCTGGATGAGAAAGCTAACCTCTGACTCGTGGATTACAGAAATTAAACAAGAACCAGGCAAACTAAAAGATTGATTCTGAACAAGTTAGGTAGTTAAAGAGGAATTGCATACCTGGGCAAGAATACAGGAGATTCATCTGGAAAGAAATTCAAAAATGAAACAAAAATAAGAGGTTTTTAATAAAGTAAAAACAAGAAAACAAATTTTTTCTTTTTAACTCTGTCCCTGTCATCTGTCAAAAACCTTTGAAAGGCATCATTCAATTCTAAATTTGCGTTTGAAGTGAGAGAACCAATTATTTTAAAAGACACAAAGTCACCGATAGAATAAAAGAGGTAAATGACGGCTACCCACATTCGTATTCAAATTCATACATTAGCACTAAAGACTACATAATTTAGCTATGTCAGCGGGTTCGTTTGTAGTCTAGATATAACAGTTGACGCTGTATGGGTGTGACTGGACAGTGCAATTGGACAATGGGTGCCATTTTTCACGCGCTATTTTTTGGACAGTTGTACTCGGAGAGGTTCCTTTTCTTGTACAATTTGACCAAAAACTAAATCAAAAGTTGCTTATCAAAAGTTGTTTTATCCTCTTTTTTCAAATTAGTATTGTAAAGTGCAAAGGGCTATTAGTTGAGTGTGGTGCTCTATAAATGAATTTTAATTTGATTTAATTCAATTTAATTAATTGGCTTGTATCATCTGTTTTTTAATCTTAGAGCAGTTTTCAATAGCGAAGCGCGCGAGTGACGTCATAACTCAGACAAACTCAGACAAACAAAACGGAATGGTGGAAGATTTGACGCTTTTTCAAGCGCGTAAGCAAGTGTTCCTAAAGCAATTTTTAAAACGAAAATTTAGCGTTCATTTTCTTCCTATTTCTCAGTCTCTCAGAACACGCTTATGTTGTCTGACTCTCGCGGGGTTCCACTAATTTGCATTCCATTTTTAGACTTCGCGCGCTTCGTTATTGAGTGTCGAACGTAATCAAGCAACTTCTCTGGTCTTGGTTTTGGTTTTGCTATGGTTTGAGATTGGCTGAGTGTTTGGTTTGCTTTTACGACACTCAGTTGAAAACCGCTCGGCTCACAGTTAAACATTTCAGACTCCCAATGTACGGTCGTCCGATTTTATTAATTTCTTGCATGGTTAGTAATAGTAATTGAACCGAGTGAAGTACAGACCTCTTTTATGTCCAACTCGCTTGGCGAAAGGTTACCAAACCACTTAACTTTGGGGTCACGTGACACAATGGTTGGTTTACCATTTTTGGAGAAATGGTAGCGGCCATAATGCATGAGAGACTTGTAGTCGTACTGTGTACCAAAACTATGAAAGGCCCAAGGACTTTTCTTGCCAAATATCTTATGATTAGCTGTTAAGTAAATAGAAAACGGAGGTTAGTTCCTTACGCAGCTCGTGTGATTAGAGAGCTTAAGCAAACCACGACCGCAACGGCAACGAGAACGCCACCAAACAAAAGGTTTAATGAGCAGAACAATAGCCGAGCACGCGCGTTATAAATCTTTGTACATTTCTTTGCCGTCCTCTACACAACAACAACGTGAAATGACTAAGTCCTGCTTGGTTTGGAGAACGCGAACGACGTCGGCTAATTTTTCGGATTTTCATTTGGAATTGAACGCTGGCGTTACACATTTAGCTTGAGCAAGTTTTGAGACCAATGGGCGCACTGATGCACAGTTGCAAAATTCGAAGGTAAAATATAAACTCATTTTACCAGTCGTTGCCCTCGGGGTCGCCGTCGTCATTGCTTAAGCTCTCTGTTGAATGACGGAAATGACGCCAGCGAAATAAAGACTTTGGGGACTAACAGGCTAGCTAATCAGCGTTACCTGGAGCAATGTTTTGCCACTGTATGTCAACGTATTGATCTCTGTCTGGTCTGTTTTGTTCATGTGCAAATCCCAGAAGATGAGCGAGTTCGTGTGCTGCTATGGAAACTAGGCCACAGTTGTAACCCAGAGAAAGTGCAGATGGCCTGCTTCTCAGCGCTCCAATGTTGGAGTTACAGCTGTTAACAGAATGAAGGATACATTTAAGTAAAGAGTCAGACAAACAAAACGGCAAAACCTATCTGGGCTGCAATTAAATCTAGAGAAAGATAACTGGCATCGAGCGTGGAATAATAATATAATAAATTTAGTGTAATGTAAAGAAGAAGAAGAAGAAGAAGAAGACGAAGAAGAAGAAGAAGAAGACGACGACGACGACGAAGAAGAAGAAGAAGTCAATTGAAAATTGTCCCGTGGGCCCTCAAACTTTTCAGTCCTAAAGAAGTTCAGGCTACCCGGGCCTCTCCCCCAGATCCCCAGAATTCCTGTCAATAATATGCTATTTCGGCATATTTTGGTGTATTACTCACCCGCTAGACCCATAGTAGATGTACGCATAACGAGACTCTGTTGTCCGCTTTACAAACTTAACGCAGGTGTTGTTTTCCCAGATTTCCATCGCCTTGCGCAGTGCCTCCATGTGTCCCGAGCGGTTTACTGTAGAATAGAAAGTTTAAACATTATCAGTGTTATCAGGCGGAGAAAACAATGGTCCTTGAACCACATGCGATGCCCTCAATTTCACAAGTTTTCTCTAGTCAGCTGATAAAATAGAAAAAAGTTCTTATAAAACATGTCTGATGTGAAGTTTATGTGAAATAATTCATATATGAACACAATGGATGAACTGGGACTGCACGCGAATTGCGGACTGCACGTAAATTGTAGTCGGCGCGTAGATGCGTACTATTCTTCTCAGAATGGAAAAAGTAGACGTTTGCTTGTCTGAAAATCGAAATTAGTAACAAAAAGATCAGGAGAAACCAAAACCAATCGGCGTGTGGTAGTGAAGTCTTCTTTGCAGCCGTTATCTGAGACGTCACGCAACGAGAAGCGTTGCGTGATGACCTTAATAACTGCTGCGAAGGAGACTGCTGGTAATGTTTCCACGTCTACGTTTAGCGTTGGTTTTACGACGACACTCATTAGCAAAGTACTGTCAACTTATGCAGAAAACTCGAGCTATCTTGAGCGTGGAGTTGGTGTTGACTGCTATCAGACTGATATCAGACTGACTGCTATCAGAAAGAAGTCTATAGTTAATCAACTAATCTCCCCCCTCAACCCAGTGTAAATTTAAAAACAAGCCTGAAGGGTAGGAGAGAATCCCCATATAGGCGCCAAGACGAGCGGAAATGGCGTATTGGCTCTGTAATAGACTATTTCCGAGTTTCCTACTGCCTCCGTTTCGAAACGAGAACCATTCTTGTGAAAATGACTTTACTTTGCATGAAAATGAATCTGTAGGCGGAACTCGTTTTCATATCAATGGTTTCGCACGAAGACTTGTTTTGGCACAGAGGCAAAAGGCAGCTCGGCTTTTGATTCAGGTTTTGTAGAGACATAAAGGTTTAAGTCAAGTCGTGTAAGTCAAGTCATGTTTGTTGCTGGGTTCCCTGTATTGTTCATGTGTTTTTCCCGCCGTTTAGTCCCCGCGTTTAAGTCACGTGATTTTTTCGAGTGTGCATGTAACGGCGAACGTCGGCAAACGTTGTAGTTGTGTATGCGATTCACTCGAAGTAACGACGGATAAGACGGATAANATAATGATAATAATAATGATAAAATAATAAAATAAAATGATTTCAGTGGTTTAGAGATGTATCGCCATACATACTTATGCTAGCATGCAGAACGTATGGTACAACGCCTCCAGGCCACAGTCTGGTCGTCATGCGCAGGGCATTGGAGAATTCACCGCTGGCCGCATCAGACTCCAAAGGTGGAAGACGAATATCATTTTCGAAAATGGCGACGTCTTCAGCAGATGAATCTGAGGAGAGAGATTCACAAAACAAATCATGAATTTGGATTTTTTAGGGGAAACTTATAAAACGCGGATTTTTATACAGTTTGATGTACATAATTAGAGTCGAATGCCCTTGAATTGGACTGGAATGTTCTGTAAACATTCTAAGTCAAAATAAACTAATTACATTTCAACAAGCTTTCCAAGGCTAGTGTCCTGCTATTTGGACACAACCAAACCAGGGTGGAAGAATGCACGGGAGTCTGCATNCCTGGATGGGATGCTAGTCCATCGGGGGGTCACCCCCAACAGTCCCTGGCCAGGGCACAAACCCGGGCCGCTCGATCCGGAGAAGAGCGCACTAACCATGAGGCCAGCGTGCTGGCGAGCAGATTAGTTATCCGTGGAACATTTATCAACAACATTTATCAAATTTCGAAATGCAAAACACACGTTTTCCGTCTCAAGTTTTCTTTCATATTATGCTCGTCAACAGAACAGTAATGATTACTAATTAGATACGAAAGAAGATTATTGTTTTAGAAATAAATGAACAACCACTTTCAGTTTGTAAAAAAAAAAAAAGGATTGGTTTATAAAAGATACGAATGTTCTCTCCGGCAAACTTATGTTCTTCTTTATCCTCGTCAACAAAAAAGTCGCATTAATAAGATTGTTGAAGCTAAATTGGTCATTTTGCTTGTAATTAGCTATAAGCAGTTTAAGTTGATGTAATAAGATTGTGAAAGTTAAAAATTGTTAATTATGCTTGTAATAAGCTATGCGTAAATAGGACGATCTAATAAGTTTTTGTTTTGTTCAGCTCTTGTTGAAAGGTTTTTTTTTTGAAGACGCAATGTTCTTTGTGCAGATGAAAGGTTTCAAAACGTCAATCAATCTCCGGACAAGGTTTCCTTGTGGAGCCCTACACTGGACGAAGTTTTGTTATTTGAGGAGTTTTCCCCTCCAGAGGTTTTCTTTTTTTAAATCTTGTATAGAGAAAAGTTGTCGAGGCTGAAAATTCTGCACGCGTGTAGCTAGCAAAAGCTGCCGGAAATTTGACTCTAGCACAGAATGCATGAAGGAACGTGAATCCACTTCTCCTGCAGTGAAGAGTGAAAACGCTTTCTGTCGACACGAATTGTTTCCATCAACAATGAGAGGAGAGGAACAAGTATCCTAACGACTATGATGCTGATTGTGAGCGGCTAGAGTACTCTTGATGCGGATCACGTACTTAAATACGCTACATCATGGTTTGTGTATCTTGAAAAGTTTAGCATGAATTTTTCACGTTCGCCGTTTGTAATCCGTGTCAATCTTTTCCATCCTTAGCCATCCTTGTTCCTTTACGGTTTATTATTATCTCTTTGTTGTTTTTGCTGTCTTAGTTGACTACTATCCCGGGGGAGGTACTTTGGGAATTTCTGGGGG